AATGAGTGTCACATTGTAGGCAGATGTAAAGCAGTGACTGCTGGAGACATGCTGGTTGCCCAGGTCCTTTCCCTTCACTGAAGGACCAGATACAGCCTTCCAGCAATGCTTAGTAAAGACAGACAATCCAAAAGTGGGTAACTGAGAGAGGCACTGAAATGAATTCGGACCCTCTATCCATGCAGACATGGAACAGGGCACAGTTTTGTTCCTGCTAGGATGGGTATCAGGGTGAAGCTCTCAGGAGGGAATGGTGGACAATCAGGACAGGGAAAAGACTAAGAAACTTTAGATTAAGGTGGAGGGTAATTTCCTGGGTGGCATCATGTTTTGTTTCTCTTCAATGATTTGGGCAAGAAATAGAGAATTGCAGCAATTCTGAGCTAGCATGGCTAGCCAGGCTAACAGTGATACTGGCACTACTTACGATCATGCCTTATACACAGCTTCCTCATATGTGACCTCATCTTTCCTCTTTGGCTCTGTTTACCATGGCTGATCTCGATCCAGATTTCTTTTTTTTCTCCAGTCATTTTGACCTCCATGAGGTCTCAAACGAGATTAAGGGTTCAGAAATCCTTTCTCCTGTGACATTATACCATATAAATGCCAAACAGCCTTGGTGTGACTTTCATGGAGTTCCAAAGGGACACAGCTCGGGTGTGCACCTGGGTATTAATTGATCTTGATTTTAATATTAATGAGTCTATGATTTGGTCTAGTTGACCTTCAAATTCAAATTAGGTACTGATTAAATAATAAGGCAGGTGAATCCGGATGTGTTTGTACAGCACTCCCTCCACCCGCTCCCCAGTAAGGTGTCTTGGCAGTGGATGAGGATGACATATGAAAAACATGCGGACAGCTAGAAGAGAGAATGCTCCCCGACCTAAGGAGACAAACAACTATACATTTAGCAATAACATTGGTTCTTTAGAAGTTTTGACCACAGCACTAGTGATTGTTTATATGTTTGTTAACTCAAATAGAAATTGTTTTTCAGAATTTGGAGTATAAAATCCTTTAAAAAGAGCATCCACAATAGTAATGGGAGAATTTCTCAATACACAAATTCAGGTCCTGTTTTACAAATAATCTCAGATTGCCTATCAAATGCCACAGATATTTTCCCAGGCTGGCTTCATTTGGAAGTGAGTTTCATCTCAGTCCTGGCTCTCCAATCTACCCCATGTAGATGAGCCATTCATTAGCATTCCTCCTCCTCAAATCTCATCCTCTCAGCTCAACTCCCACCCACTTGGCAGCTGTAATGACTCACTGTGAACAGGTGTCCTCAGTGTCTGGACAACAGTCTACCGTGATCTGGAAGCAGACAGCTCCGCCTCGCCACAGTTGCACAGTCAGCAGTTACGTGGGGTAAGTGGGCAAGCACACTCAGGCTTGGTTCCCGGTGGGAAGTATGTCTGGAGCATTTGAAGAGGAGCACTAACTAGTGTAGGTGACACTTTGGTTCTAACACTTTGAGAGATTTTTTTTTCAACTTTCATATAATTGTTTGGTTAAAAAAAAATACTTTCTGTTCCAGGGATAAAGACATCCACCTTATTTTACTTGCTTGTTTTCAACTCCTACATTCTAGAGGATGCTAGATTCCAGTGAAGACTAAAATCTCAACAAATGTAAACCCAGCCAACTGACAAGCAAAACTGCAAACCACTAAACATTGCACAAACACCATGGGCATCATACTGGAAAGAGAACCTGGTCATTCCAGACCACAGGTGATTCCAAGCTGATTGACAAGACACTCCTTCAGGAGTGAAGTCTCCAAAAAGTCAAGAGAACAAGGGCTCCTTTAGGACCTTTGATCAGTGGAAAATATTCTGCCACTTACACTGGAGGGTGTCACGAGCATTTCTATAAGTGATCTTACCACTGTGAGGTCCTAAAATAGCCCTGGTGTCACCAAGGACAGATATTTCTACATGAAAGCTAATGACGGAAAAGATTTGAAATGAATCCTGAACACTTATGACTTCCTTTTAACCTCAAGTTGACCTCAATCTTGGATGATTTCAATGAAAATTTCTTTTCCTTAATTCTAAGCTGTGCATCTGTCAATCTTGATGACAGCTTGGCAAGCATTAGAGACTGAGCTCTGAACAGATAACCCATTTCAAAGCAGTGCCCCAATATTATTAGATAAACGCAAAATCCTTACCCTATATGTTTAACTGTTGGTTGGAACCAGATTACATACTAAGGTAGATCACAAAACATATGTTTTCCAAATAAAAAAGTTAATGGAAATTAACAATATATTTCATCAAAATCCCCCAGATCTTCATATTTAGTCTCACAAAGGAACCACGTTTGTGATACAAAGACAACTCTTTGATGGAGTTAGCACCATTAAAAGTCTTATTTTAAGAAAAACATTCCTAAAAGTATTCTGAAAAATAATTGATCCCTGCATGAGCAATTAACGGTGTGAGATCCTAAAAGCATCAAGAAATATCACAAGCAGTGTGTTTTATGAAGGTGTGATGTCTCCCAGCTAAACGAGTCAACAGCAAGAAATCTCAGCTTGAAGCATTCAAATTAGATTGCTCCTCTTTCTTACTCCTTAGACTCTCATTCAACCTCATGACACTTTTACATTTTCATGCTAAACAAAATGATTGAGATGTCCTTTTTTTTGTTTAAAATAAGCACCATTTTCTATTTTTTCTCTTACAGCATCAGTCTATTTCCCTGTAAAATAACTGAGTTTCTCAAGAAACCTCTGAGGAACTCTGACACAAATTACATTTTTAGATATGTCAAATATTTCTGAAATAAGAGATACCTGAACATACACCTACATAGTTTGAAGGGAAGTGTCACTTGAAAGTGGCAATAAAAAAAAAAGGATCACTCAAGATGACAGCAGTGTGGTGGACACTGGGTTGTCTCATTCGGAGCTCCTTTAGGAAAAAACAATTATTTTCCCAGGCACTTGAAGATATCATCCATTTCTGGCTTCCACGATTGCTTCAACAGAAAGGAACCCACAGCCATACACATCCCAGGAGAGCCAGCATCAGAATCTATGGCAGGATCCTCTTGCCCATTGTGGTACATCTTTGGGGCCTCCCATAAGGTCAGCTGGGATTGATCCCTTCTGACAGTGCGCTGGATGGAGTGTCTCCTTCAGTCAGTTCTGTCCCCTTCCCTTTTCTGTTAAGGGAGTTGTTATCTCTCTGATAAACAAGCTGCTTCCTAAGACCCTATCTTAGTCTGTTTTTGGAAACTCTGAGCTATTTGGAGGCTAGAGAAACAGCAAAGAAACTCACCTGTGTTGTGGTTTTTGTGAGGCAGACATTAATCTTCTGAGTGGTGAGTGCATGCGTGCGTGCGTATGTGCGTGCATACGTGCGTGCATGCGTGTGCATGCATGCATATGTGTGTGTGTGTGTGTGTGTTGCGCGTGTGTGTATGTGTGTGTGTGCTTGATGGGTTTGTGCACAGGTGTATGCAGGAGACCAAAGGAGATCATCAAGCATCCTCCTCTACTGTTCTTAGTGTTATTCTCTTGACACTGGGTCTCTCACTTAATCTGGAGCTCATTTGGGAGACAGTGAGCCTCAGTGATCTGCTGTCCTCAAATCTCAGTGCTGGGATTACAGGTGATTGGGACTTAGCGGGATTTGTTTTGTTATGTATTTTTATCACTTTTTTTTTTTTTTTTTTTTTTTTTTTTTTTTTTTTTTTTTGGTTTTTGAGACAAAGTTTCATCTAGTCCAGAGTAGCCTCAAATTTGAAGTGTAGCTGATATTGGCTTTGAACTCTTAATCTTCTTGCCTCCAACTCTTAAGTGCCACCACCACTCAGCTTGCCAGGCTGGCACAGAAACCTAATGTTTCATGCTCCCATCCCCAAGGTAGACATGATTCTTGTCCTGACTATAGAAGGAAAAACTGAAGTCCAAAGAAGTTCACTGTGTATTTACTTGCTAAGCACTTGATTTCTACTTGAATTATTTGTCACAGGTTAGCTAAGTAACTGGCAGCAGAGGTAGGATCAAGTCCCAGTTATTGGTACTCTTATCAACTGCCCTCAATTACATGTGGTTAAAACAAAAACTGACCAGGAAATGGACATGGAATTAAATATGCCATCAAGTGAGTATTAAAATTACAGAACTATTTTGATTTCCTCAACAGATTCAAAGTATAGCAAGGCTTGGGGGCAGTGTGTACCTGTTTTTACATCACATCCAATTGAAGACATGGACTTGAAGTCCATGCTCATGTTCCAAGCAGATGGTATGGTTTATAAGACACGGATTTGTTCAAGTGTAATAGTCCAGTCTATCAATTGCACAGGGTTTTGGTAGCTACTAATGGCAGATATCACACATTTTTTTCTTCTGGGAAGACTTACCCACCAGTCAGGAGGGAGAGGACAGAAAGAACTATTTTATTTTCTTTTATTGTTATTTTTAAAGCAGTTTGCATCCCTGTATCACAGCACTTATCCCTAAAACAGTAACAATTTCTCTTATTTATTTATTTATTTTTCTTCATGGTTTACTTGGGTCAGCAACATTTTTTTTTTTTTTTTTAGTAATGGGGTCCATAGAATGGTGGCCTTGCCTCAAGTTTATTTTTATAGATGCCCTTCAAATATTTCTTCCTTGGGTTGTAGGGCCTCTGGTAGGTAGTCTTTAATGCCACTCCTTCAAACTTATGCCGATGAGTGGTTATAAACAGCAGAATCGACAAATTCTAGAGTTTCAGATAAACGTTTTTCTCTAACCACACTTTCTCTGCTCCTGCTCTTATTTTATAAACATTATTTTTAGAGGAACACATGTAAATGTATATATAAATTCTGAAGAGGCTCGATATGGAATGGAGCAGAGTGGGTGGGATCCTTGTGTTCGAAATAGAGGCGCTTAAGAGAATCACATTTGTTCACCGGTTCAGTTTCCCACATAAACAAAACCCACACAGTTTACTTTGAAGGATCTGTGAGGTTTAGATATGGTCTCATACCTTCGTCTTTACGGACTTCCACTGTTTCTTCTGAAGCAGGACTGGGCACAGGGGTGGTGTTGACACTGTCTATAAAACAGAGAAAGAAATCTCTCAGGCTTGCTACTTCAGGCTGTGGGTTTTCCTTCCTTTCAGCAACCTCCCCACCCAACCAGCGAAGCTCTCAGTGTCCTTCACACGGCAAATGGTCTTCCAGGGGCAGAGGGCTGTGATGCACTTTTTAATATTGTTAATGAATCATAAATCTTCACATAAGACAGAGGCCAACGAAGGACAAAATGTGTTTTGCTGAAGACTACTGTTTGTCAACCATACTATGCCAGCAACTCCAGTAGCATTTTGCTTCCTCATAGCACTTAGGAAAAGTGCTGAGGAAAAAGTCTGAGGAGAGATTAAGAGTTCAAAGGATATATATATATCCTACTCTGTGTATATATATGTGCATACACACACACACACACACACATACACACACACACACATATATATATTTGCCGTGCATGGTAACATATATCCATGCAATTTTCTACAAAGTGTTCCTATGTGTGATTTTTGGTTTGCTTTTTCTTAGCTCAGCACTTCTAAGGACTGGCAATCCACTCCACTGTCTAGCTGGACAAAGTGGTTGTGTAACAGTCAGTACTGTAGTCCAGGAGAAGGAGATCACTCAAAGTAAGGCATCCAAAGACACACAGGGATCTTATATCACCCAGTTACAGAATGGGGACCAAGGACAGAGAGTTCTCTGTTCCCCCCACAGTACCAATTGAGGCCAGTTAGAGATGATCTCTCCTACCGGTCTCCTCAGAACCACAGAGATTTGGTTCATGTTTGGCCTCTACAGTGATAGATAGTCAGCTACTACCATGAAAACAGTAGGATTAGGACACAGGAACTTATTAAAATCATTCCACAGCTGGTAAAACAATATACATAGTTTTCTTATAGTTATTCAGTCACAGACTTAAAGATAAAATACACATTTCAAGGACATGTTCTTATTTTCAGTATATCATTTGTTCGTTATATATGGATGTTACTTTTAGGTTGCATCTCTATTGGAACAGAGAATAATATCTGTAGAAGGTATATGGTGTGTGTGTGTGTGTGTGTGTGTGTGTGTGTGTGTGTGTATCACTTTCTTTTGCTGGGTGTCTATCTTCAACTTAAAAAAAGCACAGACCCTTAACCTTCCCATACTGTAACAGCCTTTCCATTTCCATCTCCCTTCAGAGCAAAACTGCCTAAGAAAAGTTACTATTACTGTCTTGCAAGACTTCACTTCTGACGCCCTGCAGAAGTCACGCAATGCTTGTCCAGTAGTCTTCCTAACTCCCTCACCTAAGGTGCTGGTATTCGTCCTTTGACGATCTAAAGACTGCCATCACTACCATTCCTGTGTTTCCCTTTTCTTTCTATTTCAAGACAGGTCTTATTATGGGGCCCGAACAGTTCTTGAACTTGCCATCTTCCTGCCTCAGCCTCCTTCTCAGGTACCACCACTTTCAACTTGATTTCTTCCTGTCTTCCAGGAATGTCTTCCAGTTAAGTGACACCGTTGGCCGCAAAACACTGAAGCTGCACTCCTAGGACCCAAGTGGCTTCCTCTTTCCCCCATGTGCCCACCTAGCTCTTTAACCTATGGACCCTGTTGCTTCTTACTTCCAGAATGTGCCAAGTTTCAATCTTTTCGCCTCTGTTTCCAAAATCCCCTGTCATTGTTTTCCTGTAGTCATCTTCTATCTTTGTCTCTTTTGACCCATTTTCACTCATGGGCAAAATGAGTTCATTAATACATAGATCATTGCTTCCAATATTTAAATTTTTCCACTGAGTTTTCTCTGTAGTCAAGTCAAATCACATGCTATCAGACACGGTTTGGTCTTAGGATTGCTTATCTGATCTCACTCTGTTGTCTTGCGCCCACCTTGCTCCAGTTATCTCCCTCCCCATTGTGAAGCCAATTTATCATCTGTTCCCCCTATCTAGACTTGTCTTTCACCACGTCAGCATTCAAAGCTCATTTTAAGCAACACTTCCTCAGTGAGTCCCCCTCAGAGTTGCCCTCTGAGGGTTACCCCAATTTCACCATTTACACCCTGTTAGCCACTTGAACATTCTGATAATTTTATCCTTTTCATTTGTTTATGTTTGTATCCCCCCCCCATCAGACTATAAGCTTCAAAGAACTATAGATGTTGTTTTTAGAACTAATTGAAATGTTTGCAATGTTGGGGAGGCAATGAACCTTCGATATATATTTATTATTGATTTCTTGATAAATACTATATACAGTTGTATTTGACTTGATGGTGACAGCTGTCAGAACTTGAAAATTATGCTATTTTGAGATTGTGTTTTTCCATCACGTGGAAGAGCTCTGCAGAGTTATGCAATCAACATTGGCCCTGGAAACTATAAGGAAGGAAAGCAAGATGTTTTTATTTTGAGAACTAACAGCAGGTCAACGGGCTTTAACAACGAGAACCACATCTTCAATTGTTCTGTCGTCTGACTGAGGAGGCTGCGACATGGCAAAATGAATGGGACAGCACCCAGTGACACTGGCCACAGAATGTGAAATGAACCCTGCTGCTAGACTCTGTCAGTCTGCTCACTGTCTTGGATGAGCAAGAGGAGCCACCGAGGAAGACAGAGGAGACCCTGTGATAAAAGGCTGAGAGGGAGCAATATTGGGTGCTAATGCTTTTTATATCTAAGAGGTGGAGAAGATGGCTTATACTTGGGCACTCTGAAATCACAGAAGGTAGTCACAAAACCAAAATGAAATTACCAGAACCCAACTGATTTAGGGGGGAGGACAGATGAATAAAACACAGGCACTAGTGTATATGTGTGAGTATGCATCGTGTGTGTGTGTGTGTGTGTGTGTGTGTGTGTGTGTGTGTGTGTATGTGTGTGCGTGTACAGTGATGGGAGAAAAATCAATGTCGGTAAAGACAGCTTGGAACAGAACACTGAGTGAGCAAAACTTATAAAACTTCAACAGTCAGACCATGGCCTCAGCTGCCAGCAGTTGGCTGACTAATACATGTCATCCTGAACAGTGAAAACAGTGACAGCTTTTCATGTAAGCTGCATCTTCAACATAGCATAATGGTGTGTGGGTAGGGGCTAGCGATGGTTGGATGAGAACAGTTTACAGTACTAGAAATTAATTCAACAAAGGGAGCCAGCTGACCCTGGAACAGGCACGCAGGGTCCTTCCTGTCTTGCTTCAATGCTTCCTCTGATTAGCTTTCTTCAAGTCCATCTTCCAAGTTAATAATAAGAGCTCGCCTTCCAAGAGTACTCCAAGAACTTCCAAGTTCCAAGAGCAATGTGGAAGTTTTCAGTGAAAAACTCACCACATTACCTTCTTTAATTCTGAGAGTTCAGCATATGGACTAGGATGTGGCCAGCACAGGAGACAGAACCCACTCTTTAAAATACATGCTCCCTTCTGGGACTCAACAGAAAAGGGAAAATAACTTGGAGATTGAAAGGAAAGGGGATATTTTTATAAACCATATGTTTGTGACTATTGTTCTTTTAAAGGAGAATATTTATAAGGACAGGAGTGTGTGTGTGTGTGTGTGTGTGTGTGTGTGTGTGTGTGTTTGGGGGGCATCTGTGATAAGTCAAAGATAATTTTAATCCCTTTTGAATTTTAAGAGCTATTATTTTGAAATGCTAAATGTATACTCTACAGTGTAAAAATCTATAAACATTCGATGGACATAGCTTTTCTTAACAGGGGTGATATCAGGAAGGTGTTTGATCTTACTTGGAGCTGTTGGGAGCATGAGGTTGGTTGGGCTTTATGGCACCATCTACAATATGTAGAGAAATGGCCGGACATATGGCTCTTCAAAATTAAAAGCAAGAGAGTATAAAAGACCCCATTTAGTGTGGAGATAAAGCCTTTCTTCGTTTTCTTCAAGTAGATCTAGTTTCTTCCCCTCCTCCTCTAACTCAGTCTGCTCATTTTGACCTGCTCTAAGTCATCCAAGCTCTGACGTTGTGCTTCCAATCTTGACCCACAATTCTTAGTGCATCACTAAGCAATCTGTTATTACAGGAAGGACATGGAAAGTGAAGCGATGAATAAGAGTGGATTTTTTTTTTAAAGAGAGCACAGTCAACTTAAAGAGTTAATGAAACCGGAGAGAAGAAAGAACACAGGTTAATCAGGGGACAAGGCATAAGCATTTTCAGGCAATAACATTGAGTAAAGTTGTTGTTCACCTCTGTGGATGAGGCCTAGGAGACTCCTCAAAAGAAACCTGAGCCCACCTGCTTCTTGGCTCTGCCCTTCCATTTCTTCCGCAGTTTGCTTTTCCTCTGGACCACTCTCATCTTTCAAGAAAACCACAGGGGGAGAAGAAAAATCAAATCAATCTATGAAATATCTCCTTATGGCTAATATGCAACACTGAAATTAATTGCAACCAATGTAGCATGACTCCCAAACAGCACAGCAGAGAGCTGAATCAGAGACATGAAACAGAAGAATCCCCTACATAAATAAGTACATTTATACTCGTTCCTTCTCCCTGCATTTGCTAGAGGGAATGTTGAAGTAAACAATATTCTCTCAGTGGTGCCGGAAACATCTCTCTCTTTGCTGGCCATTTCCAAAAATGCCAAACACATTTCACTTCCAATCCCCTTTTCTGCTTTGAATTAAGTAGCATGCACAGGGTAAAGAGCTTGGCCGATTTTCTATGCCTTTTATGGTTTTGTTAGATGCATGCTTCCAAAATTTTTATTTTCACTTAGTTTGTATACGATGGTCTAACACATCAATGGTATGAATTTTTTTGTTCTGAATTCATTATGTTGATCAATTGTATAACTCTGAAAAAAATGAAATAAATGGCAGTTGCAATGGAGACTGGCTGCTTGCAACTAATTATTTCTATGTCTTAAAATATGTTCTAGCTGTGAATTCACAGGTAGGAAAAATATATTTCCAAGGGCAAGTAAAGGCCTGATTTTGTAATTAATTTTGGGGAGATCTCCAAAACACTTTTGTGGGAAGGGAAATAGAAATGACTACCTTATATAAAGGCACGACAACAGAACATAAACTGTAGTTAGAGACAGAGAACTGAAAGTCAGAAGCTATCAATAGGAAGTACAGATGTCCACAAGCCCTTCTGTCTGCCAGCAGCACCTAGCTCCTTACTGTGCACATGGGATCTGGAGTGTCACTCGTTTGGACCAAGGGGATAGGTGGGGGTGCTGTCCTGAGACTTCCAAGCTGTCCTCAGAATGACAAAAGGAAAAAGCAGCCATAACTGCAATGCAGTCCAGGATAGACTCCCCGGACAGAAAGGGACATGGAATCAGGCAGCGAGGAGACAGACATGTGAGGGAGGCAGTGTGGCACCCTCTAGTCCATCCCAGCTGCCTGTAGAATGCAGAATGACCACCTTAGCCAATGTCACAGAGTAGAAAGATCACTGAGCCCTCTCCATCCTGGTTCTTAAGTTGGCCTAAGTCACCAGCACTTATTTGCTGAGTGTGTTTTGGGTTCCACCATCTGCTGCCATTCATTCTTTTCTGGTTGGGTTTGATTTGGGCTTTTGAGACAGGGTTTCACTCTGTGCAAGGTGTGGCCTTGAACTTGCAGTTCTCATGCTTCTGACGCCTGTGTGTTGGGATGACAGGCGTGTGCTGCCTTGCTCAGCCTTACTTCTGGCTTCTGATACAGGAGTATGAGTGTGTGCCACACTCACAGAGAAGCGTTTACCAAGATCCTCTGAAAAACAATCCACTGGACAGCTTCCACTCCTGAGAAGAGTACAGTCAGTCAATACCTAAGCATGTCAGAATCCACTCAGTTTGCCATCAGACATGAGGGGCACAATGCAGTTTTGAATATGAGAAGTGGGGGGCTTCTCTGTGAGTCTTTAAATCCACTGGTGTAAGTGACATATTTAAAAGCCCCACACAGCATCTGTACTGTTCTCTGCTGAGATTCTTCATGAGGGTGACAGCATTGGTTTTTACTCTTGGGAGGAAATAACCATCATGGTTGTTCTTGTTCCCTTAATAATGCCAAGCTGGTGTGAGAGCACGTGCCAAAAATCTAGTCAATATTTCTCCCCTTCCTCCCTACCAAATGAACTGAGTTAAGCAGGAAAAAAAAATCTGCCAGCTATTCCCCAACAGACAGACTTCATAACACAGATTTCATAATAGGTCTGAAGTCTGTAGGTGACAGGCTGCCTTTAAAATTAGTCTGGTTGCCATGTCCCTTAGAGAGTGAGGACAGACTGCGTCCTTAACAGGAAAAGACAGGCAAGGAAAGAAACAAGTAACCGGAACGTGCAGAACTGTTTCCGGGGGTCGTGCTGGGTTTTCTCGGCCTTCACAGGCAGGCCCTAACTCCCTAACACAGACATCCCAGCGGCACGCTTTTCTTCCCTATTTTGAGTAGGCTGTAGTTTTCTATTTGAATATTTCTGCTCTTGGGAAGCTAGCTCACGGATTGCTTGGCATGTTTATCATGGAAGAAATGCATCCTTGAAGGAGGCTGGATTTGCCACTTGAGTAGCAAGTGTGCATGCACTCAGCTGAAAAGGTTCAGGCTGTTTTTAATTTCAGAGACAATTCACACTCACATCCAGCAGGGGGCGCCAACGCAGAAGGCTTGCTTTCAAAGCCCAACAGTGCTGTCTTGGGCAATTAGATTAGCATGCATCTCACTGTCTTTTAGAAGGACATTTTGGCTGCCTTCTATCTTTGCATCCATTTCAAATGCTTCCAAAGGGTTAGTTCTTACTGAAAAAGTGGGCCTCTGCCGGTGTGTGTGTGTGTGTGGGGTGTGTGTGTGTGGGGGGGGGGAGTGTCACATTACTCAGTTACCAGCATTTGGTAAGGAACAGCTTGGTCTGTCTATCTTCACAGGAAACATATAAACAATAAAAAGTTAAGTGGGAAAGGGCATATAAACTTGTGGTTTCTAGGAGGGACTTTAAAAGGGTTACAATAAATGTGAAGCAATACCTACAGGGAAGCACTCGGCTATTTTGTTAGCTTTAAAAAAAAAAAAAAATGTCACACAGAAGCCAGCTTCCAGATAGCTAAATTATCTCAGTTAATACACATTTAGGATCATATATTCACTTGAGATAATAAATTTCCACAGCTTTTATGTTGTGTGTGATATGACATTTTACTTTCCCATGCTGAAAAAAGTAATAACCAGGAAGAATTCTGCTGCAGAATCCTTCTTGCTTCTCTAATATTATTTCTGACCCTCAATCTTTTAATCTATATTTATTAAGCATGTGCTATTTGCAAGAATATATTTCATGAAGTTTGCGTGAACTAAATGAGGGAGTCCTGCAGAATGAATTCCTATGAGAAGAAGGAGTCTGTCGCTGGCTGGACTGTGACAGGAATTCTACGTGTTTGATTCTATATTGAGGGAGGACTGCAAGGGCAGAATCCCAACATTACGGCCACGAAGTGTTATCTTGATGATTTTATTTCCTTCCGCTAGCTGTATACAGGAACCGGAAGAGAACCGGAAGTCAATTGTGTTAAGTCCATGGCTGCTCCTCAGCAGTCTGATGTGTACCTCTTGCTGGTAGGCTGATGCCTTTTCTTATGTACAGGTCTCCAGACTTTTCGACCCTAGCGAGTTCAAATACAGCAGTTTACGGACTAAATTCTTGGTCCTAAATCTTTAGTCCCCTGTAACGGGATTACTATATGTCAGTGTCCTCCCTCTGTGAGTAGGAAATACTTACACTCCATGCATGTTGGACTCAACTACACGACTTGACTTGGATAATGAAATGCAAGCACGCAAGATACAGGCAATACCTAAATGTGCCGCATAACTGGATTTGCGTCTTAAGTGCCTGCCATTTGCCTTGGGAAGAAGATGCATAACAGCTGCTGGTTGAAGAGGAACAAGCATTAGGCAGAACAGCCTTCAACTCGAAGTGGAGTCTGAAGCCGAGCTTAAGTCAGTCACACCTTAAAATAGAACGACCTAGCCGACCCCAGCTTCCATCAGAGGACCAACCTACAACCTGTATTGCGTTGTATGTAACTAGAAGTTGGGGCAGCTTATGGGATTATTATTGTTGTAAGTAATTGATAGCAGTTGAATAACATATGCGATATGTTTTCTGTTACCTCTTACTAAATTAGTTAGCATTCTTCTGTGTATGTTGTAGGTATTTGTATGTGTTCCTATTTGTTTGTGTGTGTGCGTGCGTGTGTGTGTGTGTGTGTGTGTGTGTGTGTGTGTGTGTGTGTGCCAGAAGTCAATTCTGGGTTTCTTTTGAAATCACTCCCCCTCCACTTTTTTTGGGGGGGAGGGGTTGTGTGGATATGTGATTGATGGTATATCTGTACATACATGTGCAGATAAATGCACTGCAGATGATGGTCAGAAGCCAAAAGAGGATTTCAGGTGTCCTGCTATATCACTCTCTGTCTCACTCCCCTGACACAATGTCTCTCCCTGAACCTGCAACTAGGCTGCTAGTCAGCAAACTCCAGAGATCCTCCTGTCTCCGACCCTGCGTGGCATGTGTGGCTGTGTCCAGCTTTTCACATGGGCGTCGGAGCTTTGAACTCAGAGCCTCATGCTTGTGCAGCAAGAGCTCTTAACACTGTGCAGTCTCTCCAGCCCCCACCCACCTCATTGATGGAGACAAGGTTTCTCGTTCATCTAGACTGGCTGGCTACCAAGCCCCAGTGGTCTTCCTCAGCTGGTGTTCCAGATCCATAGTGCAGCCTGCAGTATTCCTACAGCGGATCCAAACTCGAGTCCCAAGGAGGTTACTATCCTCTTAACCAACTGAGCCCTAAGTTAGCACTCTCTTATGTGGAAGGAACTCAGTCTTGCTTGAATTTTATATTCTTCCCATCTATATTTTCATTTCACACATTTCAAAATTGTCTAGAAACACACATTTGGAAATGAAATTAGATTACATAAGAGAAATGAGCCTAAAGAGTATCACTGCCATTGGTATGATAATGTTTATACTTGGTTTAATTATATAGCTACGTGGGCATCAGCTAGTGTGTACTGATTGCTGGCGGCTACCTTCTATTCAGTTTGAAAATGCTCTGTGTAGAGTACTGAGTTTAATTCAATAACAACCTCAAAAAGTAGGTGTGATCACGACACTTTGGGTATGACTGCCACATCTAACAAATAGCCAATGCAAAGGTCCTGAGGTCAATCTGTTACTGCCTTCCTGGAAAGACAGCTAATATTTATTGTCTGAATATGATGGTTACATTCAGGGGGGACAAAAACGTACAAAATTATACTTTAAGACTTAAGCTGAGGATCCAAGCTGCCCTCTTCTATGAATTTT